GAGAAATTATAATCAGTTTTTCAAATCACTGGTGTACAGGGGAAATTACAAAGATTGGCTCTATGTCACAGATCCTAGACCATATTCCATCACCAAACTTCTGTAAGTTATTGTTGTCAAATAAAACCTAAGCAATATGATGTGTTACTATGATCTAGTTCCAAGTTTTAAAAAAGCACAATCACAACTTGCAGCTGGAAGACTGAATAAGGAATAAGGGTGACATCTTCTGTTAGCCTCTGATATTGGTCCCTAAGAATCATGGTTAGGTCATATTAATTAGAGACAGAACAGATCCCACATTTTAGACATTTTAGCATTTCCCATCAACATTTAACCTAGTGGCCAAACACAAATACTAACAGGCAAATACTTCCCTAACTTGCCTAACTTGTAAATTAGGGCCAGTTACACAGAGCCTGCTCCACTGTGTTGTAGAACTGGGACAAAAAGGTTAGTGCAGCTCTAAATTTCTATGTGAGAGAAGCCCTTGGATTCAAGAAATGAAGATCAGAAAAGTCAAATTAAGGGCAATTTTGTACATCCCAAAGAAGCAGAAAGTGTGTAGGGCTGTCAACTAGCCTAGAAAAAATGCCCTTTAACAGAGACTTAATTGCATGTTGTTTACCAGAGAATGTTATTTACTTACGTGCCATAAAAAGCTTTTGCTGTCCATTTCTGCATCTAAAACCTCTATTAAAGAGATAGGACATTTTTATCCGGGCCAGTTGGCAACCCTTTGAGTCATATTTCTTATTTTCAGGCTTTAACTGTAATGTACAATAGTGATTTCATGCATATTTCCTCACAGAGTGTTATATACCAAGTGCAGAAGCAAGTAATGAATCCAACCGTGGGAGAAATGCACAAGTTGTCTATATCATAAGCATGAGAAAAGAGTGTAGAAAAGAAGAAACTAAAAAAAGTACAATTTCTGAAGCACAATACACTCAACATTATGTAAATTAGTCATAATTTAAAGATTAAGTGAAATACTACTTCTACTATGGAAGAAGGAAACATGGCATCTACAGTTGCTTACTGTGCATCCACACTAAGCCACCTCAAGAATGAGAACTTGCTAATAATTGCTAATGCCATTGCTATCAAACAGGATCAAGTCACCGTTTTAAAAGTTTCTAATATGTTTACAGTATGATAACTTTCCCTCTTTGATTTACTTTCAGAAAGGTTGAGTTCAGATGGCCAGTTTGAAGCGGGAGGGAGTCAAGGCAAAAAAGACCCGGAACAAACTGTTCCGGGTTTTCCCATTCACACTGCAGCGACTGATGTGGGAGCATACTGGGAGGAGGCGCAAGGGAGCGTTCACACTGTTGGCCCGGAGGCACGGCTGTAAGGCGCAGCTTTCTTTTTTTGTAATCTGGAGATATCCGGCTTTTGGCGTTCACACTTTGTTGGTGTGGGATGGACACGGGATAATCATGCTTTCCAAGGTTTGCTACCACTTTCATCAGGTATCTTTTAAACTCAGGAGCAAAGCGTTACAAGACGGGTTGAGTACGGGTGGGGAACGCTGGACAGATGTGCTTGTGTGAACAGCCCATTTAATCCAGTTGTGAAACGTTCCTCACATGCACCTATCTCGGGGCAAACTGCCCGTCTGAACTCAGCCAAAGACATTCTGGTGAGGCATGTGCTAGACTGAAATGACAGTTTTGGACTAGATGAAGCTTACAATGCCATTCCAAGCATAGTTGTACCCTTCTAAGAGATCAATGGACTTCTCTTCTTAGGATGGCATTGTTAACTCAAGTAATAAAGCTGGACCACAACTCTAGGAATAGGTGCCTGTAGAAGCAAGGATGTTGATTTTATACTGCCTAGTGAAGAAGACCAGGGTAGGGCAGTCTTGTAATATCTCGGAAGCTAAGCAGCGTCAGCCCTGGTTAGTACTTGGATGGAAAACCACCAGGGATATTTAGGGTTACTACACAGAGGCAGGCAATGGTAAACCACTGAAGTCTCTTGCCTTGAAATCCCTCCAGGATCACCGTAAGTCAGCTGGGACTTGATGGCAAAAAAAGTGAAGATGAACACTCATGTCAACACAATCAATATGTTTATGCAAGTTCTTTAGCACAGAAATACTCCCAAAGCTTGCAAACATGTCTCACTGGTCAAATAACAGGTTCTTAATTAACAAAGAAATCTGAATGGAAGCTAATGAAAGAAACTATGATGTGACACTTTTGACATCTGACCAAAATATTTCTAGAAATCTTCTTCCCCCATAGTGGCTCTCTACTTTAATAATTAGGCAGAACTCTGTAACACTTCCCATATCTAATATCCATCTGACCTTTTCTGTAAAGTATAACTGATAAAATGAAACAATGATAGGAAGTTCATACTCTGGGACAGGGATTCCCAACCTTTTTGAACCTGCAGGTGCCTCTGGAATTCTGACGCCGTGTGGTGAGCAGAACTACAAAGTGGCTGCTGCAGGAAGAAAAGTCAGTCACAAAATGGTTGCCACAGCTCCAGTCATGCAAGTGAAGATCCTTGTGTTGTGGTGGCAGAAGCCCCCTCCCCCCCGGCAATGTTCACTTTCTACAAACACTTGCTGGGCACCAGGAGAGATGTCAGCATGCACCATGGTGCCCATGGGTTCCACATTGGTGATCCCTGCTCTAGGATGAGCGGTCGGGTTAGAATGGATAAAAGGAAGTACTTCTTCACCTAAAGAGTGATTAACACAAGGAATTCACTGCCACAGGAAGTGGTGGTGGCTACAAGCATGGACGGCTTCAAAAGGGAATTAGATAAGCATATGCAGCAGAGGTCCATCAGTGGCTATTAGCCACAAGGTATAGATAGGGACTCTGGGGCAAGTGATGCTCTGTCATCTTGGTGCTTGGGGGGGTCAACAGTGGGAGGGCTTCTAATGTCCTGGCCCCACTGCTGGACCTCCTGATGGCACTGGTATTTCTGGCCACTGTGTGACACAGAGTGTTGGACTGGATGGGCCTTTGGCCTGATCCAACATTGGCGTCTCTTATGTTCTTATGATACAGAAAATGGTTTATGTAAGTGTGTATGAGTGGAAATGCCTTTGAGACTATACCTAAGTGACTTTCAGGATTCTCATAACGTAAGGCAGATAAAGAGATCTTCTCTTGAAAGGTATTCTTTTGGAAACAGCACTTGAGAGTTTCAAGAGAAGGTCTTCTCTTGAAAGGCACAGAATTGAAACAGACTCAAGTGACTGGCTTCCTCACCCAATAATTTACTCACTTCAGTAGCTAAGATAGATTTAGTAGGCCTACTTTTTCTGCAAGATGATACATACTGAAGGTAATGAGAGAAGGCTCCCTCACTATTTTTTTTAACCAAACAAGAACAGCAATGTCATGGCCGGGACAAGGATCCATGTTGATCACTTTTGCAAACTAAGGGCTATGCACTGATCTCACCAACAGAAGATTGCCAAAAATAAAAATAAAAAATCCTTGCCATATTTAAAAACAGAGCTGCCACATGTCAGAGCTCTAACAACGGGTTTCTATTCTAACAGGCCAAATATGCTAAACAGCACAGTCTGTTTGAAAAGGTGTCACATTCAAGCATGCTTTTCATATTTGAGTTCATCTAAAAGCATCCATTAAGGGTTTTTTTGTACTATGAAACAAATTAGGTTTTCCACGAGCAAGAATCCTACCCACATCAGAATAAAAATGGCCAAGTCCTGTGTTTCTCAGTGAAGCAAAATCCCCAATGAATTAGCCAGGAATTTTTCTGGAATAAGACTAAAGGCAGGAGGCTTTGGCTCACAGGATCAAAGCGTCTGCCAAAGCAGCCACACAGAATGTGGTTTATTCTTAGTAAGTACAATCCAATAAGAATACGTCTGTAGGTGTGTGATAGGCCTAATTTTTTTTCCTGCCATCTCTCTGTCAGCCTGTATTCCTTGGGGAACAGCACTTGAGAGAAAACTGGTTACTTAGGAAAAAAGTATATTTTTCACTTTCTGAACTGAAGATCAAATTGCATTTCACTGCAAATGCCACTTTGAAATGATTCCTTAAAATGCATTATTGTCTACTGAGACAACTCAATATGAATTCACTGAATATGAGCAGATCTGTGGCACATGCAATAATGACATCTGATTCACCTGAACAGTTGAAAAAAGGTGAAATTTACTCTTTTCCACCAATGTATAAAGAAACTATGTTTACTTGTTTTATTTATAATTTTATAGATCCTAACCCTAAATATGTATAGCTCCTAACACTCTTTTCCACGTTTATAGGAAATGGCCAAAGTTAAGCTTCAAGATCTACCTTACTGAAAGATTCATGATGATCTAGACGCACATCTAAATCTTATATGTGTTCCCTCCTTCCTTACCACCATGGGACAAAACAGAAGCTGAGCACCAGGATCCGAGTGTCAGAACTACGGATAACATCTCAGTTGCAAATTGTTCCTTTCAGTATGTGTGCAAAGGGAGCCAAGGTGGTTTGACATTTGCAGCCTGGGCCTTCCAAAAAGAAGCAAAGCCAATGTCAGACTTCTAGGAGTTTCTACAAGTCCTAACCTACATGTTGAAGACCACTAGTCTTATGAAAAGCCATCTGACTACTTCCTTTATCACTTTTTGTTTAAGAAGGCATTTAGATTGCTGTTGGTTTTAGTTATTTGTTTCAGAGTTTTAGTTTTATTCTAGATTTTGTATATTTGACTGAACTTTTTTATTATTCTTTTTCATTCAAGTAATCTATGAGCGAGATCTCTGTAGGATATTTTACAGCTACTGAAAGCCAACTAGATACATGATCAATGTGAATACATCCAATGAACAATCATAATGTAGTGAAAAATGGTTAAAATCAGAGCATCACAAACGTAGAGCATGTTTTATTTTTTTACCCATAGGTGTTTTATCCAATAGGATACACTGAGTAGTTGATCTGTTCAGATTGATTTATAATTCTTAGCAGTGGCTGTGGAAAGTTACATAAAGAGATCAGCCTTACCTTCTTTCAGCATGCCGACTTTTAGACATTTCATGAAGCGACAAGCTTGGCAGGACTTGCGCCTGCGCTTTGTGATTTCACATTCATTTGTCGCCGGACAGCTGTATTCTATGTTACCTGTGGTGTTCAGAATTCAGAAAGAGAAGCCAATGAGAAATGTTAGTTGACAGGTAATTCTTAGTCATAGGAAAAACAGAGTGAAAGCATATGTAATCAAAAGTTACAGTAACTAGATCTAAATTATTTTTACAAAACTGTCAAGTTATAAATGGTCATAATGATTTCCATCTTTTATTTAGAACAGATAACAAGAACACTGCACTTATAATTGTGTGTCCTAATGTACATTCTTACAGTGACATGATAAATGCATGCACGAAGTATGTCCACTGGCTCTGCCTGCTTCAAGAGCAGTCACTGCATTAGATCCATCCAGCTTTTTTCCTAACATTGCCCAGTTCCTGTACAGTTTCAGTCCCACATGGAGTTTGCACATGTAGATACCATAAGCCCTATCATAGGCTTTTTTGGTTGTCCTTCCTTTTTTGTGAGCAGGAAAACTGATCGTGTATGTGAACACTGTAGCAGAAGAGATCAGCATCCCAGGAAATTCAGGCACCTTTATTGCATGTCCACATTACATGAATTGTTTTATTTAGTGTGACATAGAGAAAATAGGGTGACAGATTTGAACCACAACAACAAAACCAAGTCTGGAGTTCTAGGAGAACTCCAGGCTTCTCCTGAAGGTTGGCAATCCTATCCATGAAGAAACCAGGAAAGGAATTTCTCCTGCTCTGCCAATAGCATTAAGGTAGTGCAGCTGTATTTTGACCCTTGCTGGGAGCACAACTGCACTCCAGAGGGGGTTCGGGACAAATATTAGCATTCGGAATGTATGACTCCGTACATTCATGACAGCAAAAATAAGGATGTAGGAAATATTGTTCTAAGCCTTTGCTCCTTACTTTGCATGCATATTAATTGAGACTGATACCAGTTAGGAGGTTATTTCTGAGAACAGACCTTGTGTAAAGCTAGTATTTCACAGGATGAGTATAAAGACCAGATTCATAAAAGTACATGGAAAATCTTGCCCTCTGCTTTCTTCTTGCCAGCACAGTGAAAATTTAAGTACATAGAATGGGTTTGTTCATTAACTCATTGCATAAAGTACATCCTACCTCTGCTTAAGGGGGAGAAAAACACATACGTTCAATTTTTTAATCATCAAATGAGAAACAGAATTAGTGCACTGTGTAATGTAAACACTGGTCTGAGTAGAACATCCAGTTTTACGCACATTGACAGTCACAACTATATTCAATACGGTGGAGTTTGCTACAGCAATAGTTCTTCTTGGAAAGAAAAGGACTTTTAATAAAAATGTCTTTCCCCATCAGTGTTGTCCCATCTCACTTTAAAGGTATTTTGTTATTTTCTAACCCTTTCCCCCTGTGATTAAGAGCATTAGTATCTTAATGAAAATGCATTCTGTTTATTGCTCTCTTGGGAAGTGGGAGGTCATCACACCAAATGCATAAATTGTCATCAGAGACAGTCCAGGCATAATTGCAATTTCGCTGCTCCATGTTTGCTGCACTCAGAGTCCACCGAAGTCCCCTGAAACATGCACAGATTCTAGTAATTAGCATAGAGTCTGCCTGGGACTGCAGCATTGATGAAATATTTCAGAGTTAATCACACTTTGTAAACACTGATTTATATTGACTACCTTTCTCCAGACTGATGTCTCCTCATTAAATATCACATTAGTGGATTGCAGGATTGTACAAAGACTCAAATGCTCTGCAACTGCTAACTCAACAAGGAATAGTATGCACGCCACTTATATCTGCTGCAAAATGGTTAAGGATTTATGAGAAAGGGGTCTAGCATGTTGCAGCGCAGAAAAGACAGGAACATCAAAAACAGAGCACCAAATTAGCATTCCAACTAAATGCATCTGAGGCAAACATTTAAATCATTTGTGCTGCACCAATTTGTGCTGTTAAATTAGCATTCTAACTAAATGCATTTGAATCATTTGTGCTGCACCAATTTGTGCTGTACAAACCAGCCAAATCTACCACAAAGACAAAACAAGCAGCCCCCATTTAGTTCAACGGATGCCTGCCACATCAGAAATGGAGCCCAAGTTTACGCTGTTATACCGCTGTACTGTGCAAAGTTTGAAACCTTCCTCCAGCCTCATTGGTGGAAGGTTCTTTAAACGGCAACGGAAGAGCTACAAAATTGGAGGAAGGCTTTCTAGAGGAAGGTTGGATCCATGAGGTGGTTTGTGGCAAGCCTGAATAGTTAAAGAGGGTATCCAGGATCACCTTCAGTTTTGCATAATCAATACAGATATTTCTACAAACCTGGGGGAAAGAACCCCCAGACCAGGGGTGGCCAAACTGCAGCTTGGGAGCCGCATGTGGCTCTTTCACACATATTCTGCAGCTCCCAGCAGGGTGGGTGGAGAATCGAAGGGGAGGCATGCCTCCTCGATCGATCTTCCCTTCCCCAGCCAGTGTTCCCCTCCCTGGGTAGGCTTGAGGTGTGGGGGGGAGCAGAGAAAGAAAGCAACTTTAACTTTAAATGTGTTCTCAAAGCCCCCTCCCCTGGCTTGGAGAAGGCATTTGTCTCTTTAAATCCTTTCGTTAAACCAGCCAGCGTGAGGGTGTGAGGGGGTTAGAAGACACATTTAAAGTTACAGTTGCTTTCTTTCCACCTCTCCCCCTCATCATCTAATTACTTTCTTTCCATTTTCTTTCTTTCCACCTTTCTTTCTCTCTCTCTTCCTTCCTTCCTTTCTTTCTCTTCTTTCCTTCCTTCCACCTCCCTCCCCATCTATTTGCTTTCTCTCTCTCTCTCTCTCTCTCTGGGGGGGAAACCTGAAAAAAACATTGGGGGTTAAAACCCCACATAATGATAGTAGTGCTTGTAGCTTTAACAAACAAATGCCCTCAGTGGCTGTTGCTAAACTATCACAATAGTTTTGCCAGCTTTCCAGGTATGGTCTCTTTCAGTAAAAAGCAGGAGGAAGGGGCAGGACTGGTTTGGCTTTTGCGGAAGGACTGATTGGGCCTGGTTCTGGCATCAACCACTGAGCAAATTGATAAGACACAATTTGCATGACTCACCTAGGCACAGCTGTTTGCTCCTGCTCAAAAGCAGCCACCCCACAAAACCCAGTGTGACAATGGTTAGAGTTTCAGACTAGGTTTTGGAAGACCCACATTCAAATCCCCATTCTGCCACAGAAGTTGACTGAGTGACCTCAGGCCAGTTACACAGTCTCAGCCTTACTTACTTTGCAGAGTTGTTGTGAGGATAAAATGGAGAAGAGAATGAACTAAGTTGCTTTGGGTCCCCATTGTAGAGAAAGGTGGGGTAAAGTAAAGTAAATAAATAATAAATATAGGATTGACAGGTATCTCATTATGGTAAGAGAACTCCTGCTGGCAACCCCTACTTCCCACTACAACTACATCACCTAGAGGGACCAAAATATATTTTAGAAAATCACTGATGTGATTTTCACTTCCAGGGAAACCCCAGAAGTGATGTCAAGTCACTACAAGAATTGCCAGAAACTCTATGGTAAAACTTCCCGGTTTCCCTTGGAAGTGATGTCATGCTGAGTGTGCCCCGATTCCCCTGAGAGGTGCCAGCTATTGGCAGGGAATAGGATATAGGGGGATATAGAGGGAATATAGGGGGAAATAAAGTGACCCCTGCAAGTCCTTGCGGGATCCTTGCTTGTATATTATATTCTGGTTCATGTTCATAGGGAATAATTATGGACATTACACAAAAATCCATTTTCTCACACTATTTCCATTGTCCTCATCTTCTCATTCAAGCAGAGTATATCTAGGAAGCTTCTGGTTCACTCTATTTCAACCATTTAATAAAACAAACTTGAAGGTTTATCTGAATAAGGAACTTTACAGCGCTATCCCCCTCTGCTGAGGCCTGACTAGGAAGGAAACAAGAAGCAGGTGTATTCCTTAATTCCTGGTTCCTCCCGGAAAGTACAACATAAACAATTTATCTCTCTTTTGCATTTAAAACAAGGTTTGAGTCCAGTGGCAGCTTTAAGACCAGCAACATTTAATTTTGAGTATAAGCTTTCGTGTGCAGGCACATTTAATCAGATACACATGAAAGCTTATACCCAGATTTAAACTTTGGTCTTAAAGCTGCCACTGGACTCAAACTGTTCTATTGCTTCAGACCAACACAGCTACCTACCTGAATCTCTTTTCCATTTAGTTACCAACAGTAACTGCTTTACCAAAGAAAAAAATCCACCACAGTACAGACTAGGGGAGTATGCTGAGAAAAAAAATCATTCTAATATGCTTATTTTCAGGTAGGACATTACTGTTTTGGGATTTATATTTGTGTGGTTCCAGAGTTCAGGATCATTATTTTCAATGGGGAATGTATGTGAAGACCTATGGCAGTTGTTTATAAAGGTAACAGCACCAAATTTGCACAGGTCACAGAACCTCCCTTTACTCTAAAGACCTCCTAATTCTCAAGCAGATTGAAGAAAGGGGGTTCAGTTTTAAAGAATCCCAAAGTAGGTATTCTCAGCACAGCCACTAGGGATGGGCATGAACTCACGAACAAATCCCGGTTTGAGCACGAACCTCCACATTTTCCATGGAGGTTTGTGAGGTTTGTGGGAGACATGTTCTTGGGCTCCGACGGCATTTAAATGCCACTGGAGCCCACCATCAGCCCACAGCACCAACTGAGTGAGCTTCGAAGGCATTTAAATGCAGTCAGACCCCCCACCACCAGCCCGTGGCCACACTCAAGTGAGCCCCAAAGGCATTTAAATACCTTCAGAGCCCACCTCTGGGTCGGGCCAGCCCAACTCAGCTCAAGAGTGAGCTCTGAAGGCTTTTATAGGCCTTCGGAGTCCACTTCCAGGTGGGGCCTGCCCATATAAGGTCATATAAATGCCTTCAGAGCTCACTTCTGGGTGGGCCAAACTCAATGAACCATGAACTGGTTTGTGCAATGGAAGAATTTGTTAGAGGTTCGTAGTTCCTGAGCCCCAAACCTCCAATGAACCTCCATTTTCCCAGTTTATGCCC